GCGCTGGGTTCTTGCAGGTGTGGATGTGGTCTGGATGTTGTCCTGTGTCCTGTGGTCTCTATTTTAGGAAGATTTTTCTTTGTTATATTTTCATAGCTCTATGTGTTTTTGGGAGGAGATTTCCACTGCTCTACTCACGCCGCCATCTTGGCTCCCGCGCCCCCCAAGTTTGACTTTTTAAAACTTGTAAGTGGTATCATACCATATTTGTCTTTCTCTGCCTAACTTTTTTCACTTAGCATAGTGCCCTCAAGGTCCATTCATGTTGTCGCAAGCGGCTGGAGAGAATATATTATTTTAAAAATATTCACTTAGACCTACTTCTTCAGATACACGAGCTTTGATTTCTCTGGAATGTACGACCTTGAAACCGGAGGAAACTGACTTCCCTGTATGTGCTTCTGCATCCATTGAGTAGGCACAGGCCAGAATCTATGCAAAACAACATTCTGTGGGATCTATAATTTTGTCTCCAATATTCTCTTTTTCCTCTATGGGATAAATTCTTTTCTTCCAGTAACATCTATGTCTATGGTGTTTTTAAGTAAAATTAAGTGCAGTTTTAGGCCTAACAATAGCTTTGTTTTATTAATAAATAGACATTCCAAATGTTTAGGTGGTTAATGTTACAATTTTAACATTAATTGTAATGATGTGTGTAAGCAGAAAGAATGAAAAAATATATTGTGAAACATTCCTTTACACAGGTACTTAGAGGACCAATAAATTTAGAGGCCTCCACAAACAGTTCCCTAAAACCCTTCTCCCATCCAGGTGCCCCATTGACTATAATTCTATCCATTGAAACACATTTGTTTACTATTATTCTTATAGTCATTTAAAATGAAAATAATTTGTTAAAAGATAAACATTATTTTTTCAAAGGTACTTATAGTTTACTACAGTACTTTACACATATATAACAAACCTTTGTGAGTGTCAACCATGCTCCAGTCACAAGTGGGATGCACAGTCATAGAAATGATTATCTTATATTCCTCCTTGAAGGAGCCTGGGCTGTGTGGGGTTAGGAGTCATCACCAAAACAAAAAGTCTCTGAAGACACATGATAAATTTGAGACACCTGTCTATGGCGAGCTCTATAATTTCACTTTATGCAAAAGTATTTACAAAATATTTGAAAGAGAGACTAAGATATGCTTACAGTACTGAATGAGACTGTTCAAACTCAGAACTTTACCTGAAGTTTTTGAAATATTCCAGAATAAGTCTAGATAGATAACTAATCTTTACATATCACACACAGTGCACTTTTAAATATCATGGAGCACTGTAAGTGATAATAAGTGTAGTATATAGTGCCATGAACTGGCCGACAACCTGCCATACACTAACCAGAACACACCAAACAGCTTGCACTGAATAGAATTAGCTAAACCGCTAATAGACGCAGTCACCTTTACAAGGTGTGGAAGTATTCAACTCAGTCTAAAGAGCATGGTGATTTCTACTATAGCTGTACTGTAAGATAATTGGACCCACTTTTATATTCTACAATTTATGGGATATTCTGAATAGTACCATCTCTGAGCCAAATTTAATCCCAATAACTCTTTTAAATGACACATTTTAAAGTTCATCACTTAACACAGAAGTTTGATCACTAATTACAGAACACTGTAAGCACTTGGGAAATTGTCCTATGATATTAATTTCCATATGTTATATTTGGATGGCCTCACATATGCTAAATATTGAAGAGGGAGGGAGGGAACCAGTTGTAGGATGGCAGAGAGAGAGAAAAAGGGAGAATGAATGCACAGGAATGGAGTCCAAGTAGAGCTCAGAATGGGTGATATTGGATGAAGTTGTATACCTTTCTATACTTTAGTTTTCTAATTTAGAAACTGGAGGTTATTGTATAAACGATTTCTAACTAGAGTGTTACAACTTATCTACTCACATAGTCCACAGGTAGTAGAATTGCCTCTACAAAATCTCCCTTAAAGTTTACCCCATCTATACTTATCTAAAAGTTTGCTATAAAATTTCAAGAATTTAGGATCAGAGGACAGAATATATCATTTATATATCACCACAGGCAAAGTAGGATGGATTTACAAAACTACCTTCCTGCAATCTGTTTAAAATAGTTTTTGAATCCTTTCTCTTTTAAAATTTTTACTTTGTAGTTGTAAAATTATTGTAACAGTGTGTATCTTAAAGAACACAATTATTTAGTGGTGAAGTAGTTTTGAAATTTGTAAAACAATATGTAAAGTGCTTTCAAATTTTTCTGCAGTTATTCAAGTTTTTCAGATAATTTGCTCATATATTTATGTACAACAAAGTACATTCTATTATTTTTACTGTCTATACTCAATAATTTCATAACCCCAACAATAGTGGTTTCTAATGAGAAAACTGTCTTGGGTTTTGCAAAACAATATGTGAAATGCTTTCAAATTTCCCTGCAGTTATTCTTC